CTTTTTCCTGAGACCGTCTGATGGAAATGTTGGTGGTCATTATACAAAGGTTAAAGTGTGAATAGGTCTACAATAGGGTGGTCGCTGGTCGCGTTGGACAGGTGGTCGCTATATCCAGTGTCTTTAACGTGTAAATTGCGAAGGGACTGTACTAAGATGGTCGCTATGAGCAGGTGGCCGCTCTGCACAGGTGGTCGTTAACACAGGTTTGACTGTACTAGTATTATGACTCGTCCATACATTTCACTTACGTTTGTTACACTTGAATAAAGTCTACCACATGAAAAGAATGTTATTTACGAAGTTTTAAATAGCCGAGCCTTCCTGATTCGAGCCTCTTGTTGATTTGACAATGGTGGGTATCATTAATGTTTATTCTTTGCCTGTATCGCATTCCAGACAAAAGTTCAAGATCGGTAAACAAGAAATGGACGAACTAAAATGTCTCCTGTGTTTCACGTGCGACATGATTATTAAAAAAAAAAAAGAGTTAAGCGGTCATGTACGTTCTATAAATCTAACCTCGCACACATAATCTTGTATTGACGTGTTTTTTTTTTTTTGGGTCAAAAATGATGTTGCCTTTCAGTTAACTCTTCGCGAGAGTTTACCGATTTTTTGAACAAATGTTAAGTAACTATATCGTTTTGCGTCAGACTGGGTGGCCCGAATTTAAATGTCAGTGCGTGAACTCATTGAGGTCATTGCCCATTGCCGCACGTAATTCAAACACGTGGTTATTAGAGTTAGAATACTTAAAGCCTGTGCAATACTGTAAACATATTTGCGTTATTAGAAAAGCAGCACACTAAGTAAACGATGTTGAAATATTCAAAGCCAATACAGAGTTGGATACAAGTTGTGTTATTACAGTACCGCCGGATATGATAACAAATTTACGAGATCGAAGCGCGGACCAAGAAAGAAAAGAGTTGCTAAGGTAACGCGCCAGTTCAGTGCGTGACTTGGGGTCAAACTTCAGTCAACACACACTTGATGTCAGCATCGCCGCGTAGCAAGTTTCGCAACGTACTTGAAGTTCAATTGTGCCCCAAAATGATGTCGACGATCACTCAATTATCGCAGCGCATGTTGTACCAAGTCCATGATACACCCCGTTTCGACTTTGGCTTGCTTTTCCTTCTTAATAGTGCATGTTCTTGTTCACGTAAATGCGACCTCTCACCAATGTATTAAAACACTTTGAATTTATACTTATGCGTGATTATATTTGGTCTACATAAAACATTAATCTTTCTAAACATTTTCTGAGACCATGCATGATATATATTCACAAAATAATGCGATCATATTTTATATTATGTTGATCTCTACGTCTTTCTGGATCGTTTTGTGATTTTATTCCAAGGCTCAGGCAAATTACATAATGTCAACTATTATAGACTAGTTTCCTAGCTTTTGGCTCTGCCAAATTGATTTAATTTTTCATTGGAACTTTGTGATTCTTTTAATTTCCCAGTTCTTTGTGTTCATTAATGATCTTGACAATAAGTGTGAATTGCTGTGCGTGCCCACTGCGGGCGACATGGAATCTATGCATAAATTTGCATAAAATGCGGTCGACCGGCGAGCATCCACCACCACCGCGATAATGACCGTGGTGCACCGCCCGTTTGATTTCCTACTCTCCCCTAACATAGTTTTGTTTCACCTTTTGAATCCCAATATGTATGCTTCACAGAATAAGACTGAGTTCTGCAAATTAACCTCACCAAATTCTTGCATTTATGTATTTATAGAAACATGCAACACAGACTATTGAAAAACAGTCAATGTTTTTTGACTCCCATGTGCGAAGCACAAAATGGGAGTCTTTGCAGTTAGTGTGTCTGTATGTGTGTGGGTGTGTGGGTGGGTGGGTGGGTGGGTGGGTGTGTGTGTGTGTGTGTGTGTGTGTGTGTGTGTGTGTGTGTGTGTGTGTGTGTGTATGTGTATGTATGTGTGTATGTGTGTCCGACTGTTCCACTGCTATCTCAAGAACCATACATCGGTTTTTGATGAAACTTGGTGCATAGATGCTCTGGGCTAATGCGCAGATTTGATTAGGTTTTGGTAAAAATCCATGCTCGTTAATTACCTAATTTGCATGATAATTAGCTAATTTTTAGCTGTTCTATGACTGTTCCACTGATATCTAAAGAACCACTCATTGGATTTTGATGAAACTTGGTACATAGATGCTCTGAACTAATGCTAGGTTTTGATTAGGTTTTGGTTAAAATCCATGCTCGTTAATTACCTAATTTGCATGATAATTAGCTAATTTTTAGCTGTTCTATGACTGTTCCACTGATATCTAAAGAACCACTCATTGGATTTTGATGAAACTTGGTACATAGATTTTCTGAACTAATGCTAGGTTTTGATTAGTTTTTGGTAATAATCCGTGGATACTAATTACCTAATTTGCATAATGATTAGTCAATTTTCGGTTTTTCCACTGATATCTCAAGTACTAATCATCACATTTCAATGAAACTTGGTACATAGATGTCATATGACACCATGATAGTTTTTATGGTAATATCAGTACATGTAATTACCTAATTTGCATAATTAATTAATTTTCAGCTTTT